TCAGCTGCTCTGTCAGACAGACTAAGTGATAAAAACAATACATTTATATATCTTCAATTTCACTTTTTAAGATTATAAAGCTTTAAATATTTTTAAGAAAATACTTTATTGCAGATACACTACATTAATACTGATGTAGCTATTTTTTTAACCAGGTCACCTTGTTAGTTTTGTCAGTCACAATGTAAATGTTTAAGCTGTCAGAGTTTGTGACGGGCTACAAATAGGAACTGTTTTATTTGGAGTAAAATAAGATGTAATGTTGTGAGATTTTTAAATGATGTGTGTCGCTATAGTTCCCTTTTGCATAACACATTTACCTCTGTAGCTTCGTGGAGCCATTGTTTCGTCTTCCTTTTTTAATTTCATTTGCAGTTTTTACTTCATAGTGTAATTTTATTTACGCATATTAAGCAGCATTATTTACATTTTTAATTTGTTTAGTTATTCACAAAGTCTAAAATGGGCTCCCAGCAGGTGATTTTAAAAAGAGGCCTTTAACCAAACTTACCAAATTTCGGTAAAGGGTATATGTTTATGATATGCAAATATTGTAGAACTGTTCCTTTTATTTATCACTTACATTTACCTGGTGTACACTGATGCGCGGATTATTTTTAAAATGTGATTTAAAACGAATGATATCATAAGCCACTTGGTTTTAAAGTCCAAATGTGGGATCCTATTTACCTTTTACTTGCGCAAGTTATTAATTAACACATTTGCATCATGATAAATGTGCCTTCCTTTGTGTAAGAAAGGTTTATATGTCGTGGCTGATCAGTCATCCATTACTGGCGCAGATCGGCTGCAGCAGCTGAACTTTAACCCAACCTAAAAAAGGTCGATTTGTTTTAGACTGCTTGTGTGATTTTACCTGCAGTGTTCTTGTTATTTCTTTTTTAATTTTGACGCCAGAGGGTGTAACGCGTTGTGCTATTACATTCATAAAGGCAGCGTGTTTCATATTTGATCATTATTGCGATATCTATCCAGTAATGTACACGATGGACTCTCGGTTTGGTAAAAAATGATTTACCATCACTGAGGATATTTTTAACAAACAGGCCTGCATATCGATATACGTGTGTATTGGGTGTGACACTTTTAATATCTCGCTGAGTTTCTCTTTTTGTTTGTTTTAGGGGGCAAAATTAGGACATGTATTTAACTTTTTCTCTAATGCCCCCCCCTCCAGATGTAATTCGCATGACGCACCGTTAACGCGTCTCTTGTTGGAGGCTGCAAGTTAATTAGGCTATAGTCTGAGAGCAGCTTTCACGTTGCACCTCCACATTCACGTCAACTGTTTGTTAGGGTTGCCTTCAACTGTTCAGCTGTTGTAGTTGGTTATTTTCTATTTTACTTTTTTTTGTTTGCATGCTCAGAAGGCCTTCAATCAATTTCCACCTGAGCCGTTGCTCTTAAATGACGGGTTTCACTGTTGAAGACAGTTCACAGTTTCTGTTATGAAAGCCAGAGAGCAGGGTTTTTAACTTCGTACTTTTTTTTTTTGGTATTCTTCCACGTAAAGCTCACGTAGACGAATAAACGCCATCTCTCCTAAATGAGTTTGCATGCCCATCAGGCCTAAAATGACTATAAGGCAAAATCAGAGCAGTGAAAATATAGAAGGCGCATGCAGGATGTAGCGCGCACATCGACGTACAACTGCTGGACTTTATGTATTTATATCAAAACTAATTTGTGGAAATCCATTTGAATTAATCTTTACCGCCTAGATGTTATAGACTTCTGAGAGGAAGGTTTACTTCATTTCATTGACCTTTACTTTATATTGACATTACAGCGAGACGTGAGCCTAGTATTTAATTTAGGTATTTAATTTCTCGTGACACAGACTGCATGTGCTTTTTAAAATGTTTCCCATGGGCAAACTCTTTTTTTCTTTCATCAGTACTCTGTACTCTGCATTTTTCCTTTTTCTTTGTCCGAATTTATCAATACATAATTCTGCTGAACAATGGGGTTTATGTATTATCATACAATAACGGTGTAACGTAAAACTAAATAGCTACAACCAATAATCACATACTGTATCTCCAAGGACCTTGGGCTTCAGGCCTACAGTCATACTGTACAACATCAGTGCAACAGGAGTGCTCTGTAGTCTTGTCCAAGTTCTGCAAAGCCTGTAAGTTATTTGTGTTGATACAGTAACGGAGAAACCATTCGGAAGTCAATCAGAGCTGTGTGTGTGTGTGTGTGTGTGTGTGTGTGTGTGTGTGTGTGTGTGTGTGTGTGTGTGTGTGTGTGTGTGTGTGTGTGTGTGTGTGTGTGTGTGGAGGGGGCTGGGGGGTGAGAGTGAGGGAGGGGGGTCCTTTTACCTTAAACTTCTACTAAACATTTCAGTCAAACGGATTTCAGAGCCTTTTTCAGCTTCCATTTCATTCAGTCCCTTCAGTACATCTGTTGTTGTTGTTTTTTAACATTTGCCATAAACCTAAGTTTGGCTTCAGAAGTAATTGTCCAGTTACGCAGCATTTACAGTTCAAGAGTATCGTTTTCCTACCGTTTCCAGGAGAATGTTGTTGAACAAAAGCTAGGAAATATTCAGAGGTTGCATCCTTACCAAACATAATCAATAATTAATGTAGAGATTTTCGAATACAATTTCTACAACAGAAAAAGTCATTTTAATTGCCATGCGTTCATCATTCAGTCCAAAGAATTTAAAATCTTATATGCTGTGAAGTTACCAGTCATAATATAGCCAGCTTGTTAAAGGACAAACACACTGAATGACGAGGAAATTAACTCTGTGGGCGCCTGGACGCGTGAGTGCGCACACTGCAAAAAATGCCAACTTTAGCAAGTCATACGTTGTTATCATGCTGCTGCTGTCTTTCTCTAAAATCAAATACTCTACTTTGGGTTAAGTGTATTTCTTCAACGTTTTGCTCATTTCAGGAGGAACAAGACAGACCAGTCCGAGTTAAGCTCCATCCACTGAAATTAAAGTTCAAGGACAACACTGATTTAAAAAAAAGATATTTGGGATGGCCAAATGTCTAATTGCTAATTCTCTATTTTTTTTACAGTGCATGATTTAATATCACTTGCACTGTCCACATACGGTCAGCTACATACGCGTGGTATGTCCAACCAAGCACTGTCAATGCAAACAATGCTCTACAGTTTGATCTAAATTTAAAGAGTCTGGCGATTTGTTGTAATCCTTGCCAGAATCTGGAGTGTTCTTTTAAAACGGTCCGCGGTGAGCAGAATAAACCTGTGCGAAGCCACAGGCCTATACATAGCGTCTTCAGGCTACCCCATGTTTCTGGGTTTTTTTTCTGTGGAGACGAATATATCCCATCCCGATCTATTTGTGTTTCTCTAGCCTCTTACTACGTCTTGGAAGCTGTACCTATTTCTGAGGAAGCAATAACGGGATAGTACAAGGTTCATTCATAGCATTTAGAGACAAACTGCTTGAGCAAATGGACCGTTAATTAGTATTGTTAATTGCCTAGACACTACTACATGCAAAAACACATGGTCGATTAATCAATTCATCGTTTCAGGCAATGGGCGGACAACATGTTGACCTACAATACTTGATGGCCCCTATCAAATTTAAATTAAATTATGCTTAATAAACGTGATCTCTCCATTGTCTGGAGGCTATGACTTTGAGGAAGAAGAGGGTTGCGCGTAATGGCGCATGAAGCAGCAAATATCAAATGGATTCCATCTACCAGACTGGGATTATGGAGAGGTTTAGGACAGAAACTGGGGTGGGGGCCTGGAAGGAATTATTATTTTGGGGGATAAACCAATGCTATTCCTGCGCAGACTGCTCCCCCCCCCATCAACCCCCCCCGAATCACCCCCCCGATCCTACGTAGCGGATTCAGCTTCCGCTTCGCACGGTTGGTCATTGATGCGCAGTGGAGGGTTGGAGAGGGAGCGCGCGCCAGGGAGAGAGGGGGAGACGTTGACAAGGCTAGAGACTGGGAGAGAGAGGAGGGAAGAAGGAGGTGACGGACCTGCTCCTCTGGGACTCGGCTACAGTTTACTGCTAGGTGCTATCAGCAGGCTCTGCTCACAAAACGGTCTTCGGCTGTAAAATAAGGCACCGAGTAGCGCCTCGTAGCTGTCACCAAGCTCCGCGAGGCTCTCCACGGTCTCCGCTTTGTAGGAAGTCTGGACTAACTGTGAGAGGAGGGAAAGAAGAAGGATTCATGGAGACTCTGTGCAGCTTCACCGAGCAAAACGCCGGGATTATCTGATTTGGGGACGCGGGGCATTGAACATTTTGAAGACTAGGCGGTGTTTCTCTGTTGGGCCACCGCCGTGTCCAACTCTAGTCCACGACGTGTTTTTTTTTTTTTTTTTTTTTTTTTAGGTAAGCTGCTCGTGCTCTGATCCGGCTACGTGTGTAGTCGTTGTTGTGTTTGGTAGCGGTTTACATCGTAGTAGTGCAGGCTACTCTGCGTTGCAGGAATCGCGGCTCCATGCAGAAGTGGCACAGCCTAAGAGTGTAGAGGACAGTTGTTGTTTTTTTCAGGAGACATTAATGTGCTTTATTGTGTTCCGGACGTCACCATGTCCGATGTGACAATAAAGCTGGTGTCTTTTGTTTGTATGGATAAGAGTGTGTTTCCTAAAAGCCTTATAGGGCTGCTTCAATGTGCAGCCCTGTTCTTCCAAAATAAGTTAGTTATCACACTTCTAATGTTAGGAACACTGTGCAAGTCCCTCCCTGCATTCAAATATCTTTGTTAATAGCCTAAACATATTTGTGACCATCATCTTGACATAAACTATCAAGTTTTCAGCTTATATGAACAATATATTATAGGGTCAGTTTAATATGCTCTTACTCTGAAATCATTCACTTGTAAACAGGTTGATATGTTAATATTTATGATCTGTGTCTGTATATAAAAACGTATTCAAATCAGCCTTTAACAACGTTATTAAGGAGATCCAGTCCCACACACTGACACCTCTGTTTGGGTCTTACAGCTGGGACAGTAGTTTTCGGAGCGCCGGTCATGGCGGACCAAGAGGAGACTTTTGGCCTTCAAAACTCTCCCGGTGGCTCGGATTCAAGGGAATTACAGACCGATAATAAATCAGAGAAACAAAACGGGACCTCAAGCAAATCCCCATCATCGCAGACGACTTACATTCAGCAGGTCAGTATCGGTCAGTCTGTAGGCCGCATGGGCTGCTCCCGCGGCTTTGTGGGGTCACATTTACTTAAAAAATATATAAATAAATAAAAAAGTATATAAATATATATATTTACAAATTAGTTCAAACAAGTCTTATATTGTAGTTTTGGTTGTTAAAATATACACGAAATCTTGGGGAGGGGGAAAATGTGGGATGGGAGAAAGTAATTCCACTAATTTTACTTATTCAAAAGACAACTTTTGGACAAATCTAACTTTTTTTGGATCCGATATTTAGTCTGTGTTCTCTGTCCCACTGTGTCGCTTCAGAAAATGTATTTGAGAAGTGAAAACCGCATCTGAAAAGTTTCACAGCAATTTCCTCTTGTTTTTAGACTATATTTCATGACTGAATATGAGACTGATAAATTATTGGTGTATATGTTGATCGTCAGACATGAACTCTGGCCTCATTGTACTATATGTTTGTAGTTTAATGCTAAAGGCTCAACAGGTTAAGGACTTTACACCCACATATTAAATTAGTAAGTAGTTACACAGGGATTGCATTGCACTACAATCCCTACATTATTTCATACATTATTTATAAATGTACAGCTCTGTGGGCCAGAATTTAAAATTCGTATTTTACTTCAAACCACTGGCATTCATAATTTCCTCTTTGGCAACTGAAAACAGATGTTTTTGACAACAGGTTATTTAACTCAGAAGGCCTCAAAACCATGTTAGACCAGAGCACGACACCTCTGCGTAAACTTTAAGTAGGCCTGTTATAGCAATGCTTTGTGCACCGTTGGCACTAAGATGCTTTTATTTTCAAGGGAATGGAGGGAATAAAAGTCTACCTGCACGAGAGGGAACTCTGGTCAAAGTTTCACGAGGTGGGGACTGAGATGATCATCACCAAAGCTGGAAGGTAAGAGGACAAACTATGAAAAATATTTTTCATTATTATGACTGGAAACCGCTGCAGAGCTATTAACTGCATGGCTGCTTGCTGATAAGACTCCCCACGCAATTTTGTGAATTTTATCTAGGCCCCGGAATTAGACTATAGGCCCGGATGGAAAATTTCTTTGCATGGGGATTTGGAAATATACACCGCGAGGAACCACAAAGAAAACACAGAGCATCTGGTGGACGCTTTAGCGCTCTGCAACACCAAGAGAGCAGAGTCTACATTTTATTCTGGGTGGCCCTGTTGGGAAATACAATCGAACAATCAGCCTGAGAGAGTAAAAGCAAAAAGACTTTCATCCGGTGTGCTGAGCTTGAGACATTTTTACTCAACAATTTATAAAATAAATACATTTTAGAAGCATATGTTATATTTGCAATATGTTCTCTGTATCTGTGTGTAATTGGACGCAGATACTTTCTTGTGTGCAACACTTGTGCAGCAACATGTTATGCAGGGACTGTACATGTGTCTCGCTGTCAGCTTCACAGTTACTCTCAGGTTGCATCCAGTCAGTGTAACGCCCGTCGGCTGAGTGTGAACTTGCATATAGTCATGGTGACTGCTGGTGTCCGCTCATGGTGACTCAGATGTGGGTATAAGGCCTATAAATGGTGAATATTTATAGTTTAACACAGCTACATTTCATTGTGCTCTGCAGTTCGGGCAGAAGAAGGTTGTTTTCTCACAGCTGCATAAAGCCTCCATTATATTCCCGTCAGTCATTTCTCTCCAAGTTTTTGGCGTGGAATGATATTGCACAGCAGCTTCGTCCTCAGCCCTTCCCTTCGACTCATGAGACTGCTTAACCTTTCTCGTATTATGTGTGGTTTTTTTTTCCTACAGTATGACAGCTACCAAATATGCAAAAGATTTATTCAACGGATCCAGCAAAAATCTGCCCCACAGTGAAATAATTTTTAAATGCTCAGGTCCCTCTCAGACACAAAGCCGTGCCTTTTTTAAATGGTATCTACCTTTTCAGTTACACAAATACATTTATTGGGCATTTTAAAACAGCCCACCTGAGCTGTCTGTATGCATTATAATTTAGTTTACAAATCGAAATCATTACAAAAAGGAGAGAGTCATAAGCTTTATTCTTCATTTGCTATTATTTTGTTTATTCCCTATTTTATGTAACGCAGTGATGGATGGATGTATGTACCTGCTAAACTTTTAAAGATGACTAAAATTGGATATGGATTTCAGTCATTTCTTCTACACTGCAGACACCCGTAAAAACACACCACAGTCTATTTTTGTCTGTATGTAGTAGCCTTCTTTTTCCACAGCTTTGACAGAAATACCATATAGCGCTATAAACCGTGTTTTGTCTTTTTTTTTTTTTTTTACAGGCGAATGTTCCCCAGCTTCAAAGTGAAGGTCACGGGATTAAACCCCAAAACTAAATATATTCTCCTGATGGATGTTGTTCCAGCGGACGACCATCGGTACAAATTCGCCGATAATAAATGGTATGTAAAATGTAACACTGAAGAAACTAATTCTTGAGGACTTTTTCTTTGCAGAAAACAAACTTTTCTTTAACTTTACGCGCACGACATTTCACAATAATGGGGGTCTTTGTTTTAGGGGGTCGCTGTTACTCTCTGGAGTTTATTCCAACAGGATATTTTATATTGTTGTCCTGATGGACGAGAATCGGAAGTGGACATATTAATTCCCCGAGAATTATGAACTGTGCATTTTGTAATGCTTGCCAAGAAATGTAGTCAGCAGGGAGAAATGTTTCTGCCGGAGCTGACGTTTCGGTGTTGAATGAATGGTGATGATGTTTTCCCTATACCAGCCTATATGTGCATTGCAACAAGGCTGTCTTTCACAGTAGGGCACAAACATAACTATTTGTTTAGTGTCATGTCGATCTCTCTAACCTTGGTCAGGAATGTCTTGTTTTGGGTCAGCGCATTTCAATGAGGGGATACTCAGAGAGGATAATCACATGCCAATACTGCCGATAATGACCTGTCCAGGGCACGTCCTGGAAACTAATTCTCCTCTTGATCTAACGATGTTAGAAAACAATGTCTACAATCTCTAATCTGACCTCTTACAACCCAAAACCAACTTCCTTATATTGTATTATATATAATACATGATTGCACTGGAGGTCACTTTTGGAGCTATTTAACTTAAAGAAGCCCCAACGCAAAGTTTTGACAAGAGGTAAACATCCTGGCCAGCTTTAGGCCAGTGCGTAAATGTCTTGGATGATCCTTTTTATAAAGCAAATTTGAACAGTCTAAGGTTTGCAGCAGGTCCCTAGTAATTTGTTGTTTTTGTTAATTAATGAATTTTATTTAATTGTAAATTAGATTTTCCTTTAAGTAAGTTGCATGCAATTCAGATATCTGTGTGCGTAATTCCTAAAATTTCGATAATGAAATGAATGCCGACAGATGATGGATGCAATGTTGGTGTGAACACGCTTGCTCCTGCATAGTTGATAGCTGGAATACGGGTGTCAGTCCAATGTGTTACAGTGTGACTGTGTTGCTGTAATTCAGGTCTGTGACCGGGAAGGCAGAGCCCGCCATGCCCGGCAGGCTCTACGTTCACCCGGACTCTCCCGCCACGGGTGCGCACTGGATGAGGCAGCTGGTCTCCTTCCAGAAGCTGAAACTGACCAACAACCACCTGGACCCGTTCGGACACGTAGGTGCCTAGGCCTATCATCTATACTATTTAACCCCTGTGTGACTGGGAATGCTATAATAACCTGCTGCTGCTCTGATCAAATCAGGACTTTTATTTTTTAGTTTTGTGTTGTGTGTTTCTACTTTTTTACCTTTCTACTCATCTATGGGATTCTTTATTACCTTTTACAACTACTGGTTTCCACGACTAATGATTGTTTTTATTGTTTAATTTCAAAACTTTGTTCTGTATTTGTATGAAAATCACCAGTTAAATTATTGACTCACACAAAGCTGAATCTGAAAAAAAGGAAACTACAGAATGTTACAGGGCGCAACTTTTTCCTGAGAAGGAAAATATGAATAACTATTATTATTATTACTACTAGTCAGAAATTCATAAGTTGTATGCTTTAAAAATAAGTTTTACGTTTATTTTAAGTGTTTTGGTAAGACTCTGCCCATTTATTTGAACCAATTTAAAACAGTGCCTCATATATTTACTACTGGCCTTAGACTTTAAAGGTCATCATTTTCTTTTTAGTAAAAAAAAAGATACAATTGTCCCTACTTGCTTGTAAAAAAAAACAGATTTGTATGATTATAATTCAAATATTTATCTTTCAAACCTCCCATTTATTAGAAAAACCCTGTATTTGCAATGCACATGGCCAAAGGAAGAAGGTATAATTTTGCTCAGGGTATTTAAACATAGAAGGATACCGTTTATTTCCTTCAAACTATAGTTGCTTACTTCCAAAAGTTTAATGAAAATAAGATACATTTTTCTTTTTAATGTCAGAAAAACCATGGAATGATGGTCTTATTTAATGTATTCTTGAGCTTAATTATTCATTGGGAACACAATTAAACCCAAGACAGATTAGTTAAAAGGACAGGATATTGGATTTTCTGCAAAAAACATTTAAACAAATTTTATTTCCTGAATGCCTGAGGTCCTTTTGAAAAATAAGAAACAGAGAGTTGACTTTGCCACACATATTGTTTTATCTAAGAGAGATGTGGTAAATAAATGCTTTGACATAGTGAATTAACATTTTAAATGGGCCTACTTTAATATGTACTTTCCCCATACAATGCAATTCATGGTCCTCACAATGAAAAAAATGTATAGTAATATTCTGATGAGAGTCTCTGATGTTTCAACTTCAATTTCTGATTCTGATTCTCGACAAAATCAACTGAATTTCAACTTTTTTCACCCTGCCATTGTTGATGGTAAAGCAACACGTTTTTGTCTTTGATAGTTTTTCGTTGTCCAGGTTTATTATAGCACCCCCTAGATGCATTAAAGTTGCAGACCTCTTTCACAAGTATAGGGGAACAGTTGGGCACTTTTTAGCAAAACAGAAAGAAGCAATTGCACCCCCACCCACCACCTCCCTCACCCCTCACCAGTGAGGGACTGTATGGTACCCATTTCCTAACTTAAACTGCTCATTATTCTACACTCACTATCTGGCCCCAGGCTTTTTTTGATTCCTGTGTTATACCCAAAACACAAACATCACTTACTTCATCAACAAATGGGCCTGTTGGCGGCCCGGTTTTCATAAAATTTCAAGTTGATGGGCACATAGAGGCCAAATTAGATGTCTTGTTGTAGAAACGGAATAGTAACACAATTAGCTTTTTTACTAATAGGCCCAGTCATTAAAAGGAAAAAAAACAATTACGAGGTCTGGCAAAAGGTACATTGAAAGCTTTTCTGTTTTTAAATACTGAGGGAAAATATAAGAAATTAAATTATTAAAAGTGTTCGCCTCATGTTGATTGGATGGTGTTATGCTAAAGATTAAAATCTGCAGTGAGGGATGAGAAAAAGATGCAGGTTGTTCAGAGGCAGCACTAAAACATGTCTTGTTATAATGTTATAGTGATGAGGTTTGATTTATTCCAATTATCATGACCACTGAACCCAGACTGACAATTATTTGCTACTCAGTTTGATGGCCAGTCACATTTACCCAAGCAAAAAAATGCATATGTATTTCTACACACACACACGCCACTATCTATTCACATGGCACCTATAGTGATTGTTGCCTTGCCAAAGCCCAGCTGGTGAAGTGAAACTGGAGCTCAGTCGGAATGTGAGCAGTGTTGTAAATTTTGGGTTAAAGTACATTTTTGATTGGTTGCAGTGGTTCTTGGCTCACCCTCTTTCATGCTGGGAGACAGCACCCTGGGATTCATAAATGAAACGCTGGTGGCTGGCCAGAAAGATATTCCATCAGCTTGTTGGTCCAGCTGGTTGAAATAACTTGTGGATGATTTAAAATTACTAGCAGTGAGACACAAGACCAATGTTGCTGATGTAGATTGGACCAATTTAATAGGCTGAAGCAGTCATTTTTCTCTAGAAATGTCCGGCAGCTAGATGCACGTCAGTGGACTGAGCAGGGCAGAGCTCAGCAGCGAAGGACTGTTGTGAAGGAGTCTGACAGATAATTGTGAAGCTTTGTTTTTTCTTAAAATTGTGCATATTCTCAACCTGTTGACGTGCAGCCTGTTCTCCTAAAATCTTGCACACAACTTACTTGCAATAGCTATTTTTTTAGCTACGTTTTTGAAGTGACATAGTCGTAGTTTTGAGTAAGATAGTGTGTTTGTTTGGTTTTCGCAGTTTTATATTTATTGATATTTTCAGGCAGAAAGAGTGACAGGAGCATCACTGGGTTACATCATACAGGCACATTTTACATATTGATCATATTGTAGTCTTAGGGTATATGTCAATATCTCCATACCATTTATTTCAATGACAGTTGCAGTCTAATTAGAAGTGAATGTGTTTTGAATAAGGTTTTATGGTGAATTTTTTTTTTTTTACTATTGCAAACATGCATCTTAATAAAACATGACTACTTTTTAAGCCATTACATCTATTAGACAGCTATTTGTACAGATAGTAGTTACTTCACAGGCAAGATTTTACTTATTATTATTATCATTATTAGCTTCACCTTGACTACTGCAACATTAAATGCTGCTTACTGGATGCATCAATATTATTAATCCATTAGGTATTGTCTGTACATAATAATGCAACACTCTGGAAAAGACCATTGTGCATAATAAGTACTTTTAGTTTTGATACTTTTGCTGTTAAAACTTACTGTACTTTGATTTAAAGTACCACATGGAGTTTTTAACTGTTTATGAAACAGTCTTAAATTTAATAATGCCTCTATACCTAATAGTCAGAAGATAGTTATTCTTAATGCCACCAACACCTGCCACCAGGTTGGATTCGATCGGATTGCCCACGAAATCAGACGAAACAAGGTGTTCGAAACACTACCGCTTTTGTCCACAGGGGCTGCCAGAATCAACACAAAACTTTTAAGTAAAACTTTAAATGTAGTACTTTTACATCAGATAAAGTATCTCTTTACTATATTGTAGTATCATAGTAGGAGGTATTTCTTAAACCACTGTACTACGGTGCCACTTTTGTCTCATCGTTATAGATTTAAGTAACCAAACTGGTGTTGTTCCTGTATTTTAAATCCCCAAATTAATTTGTTTTTTTCTCAGGTTTCATACCAAGCTGCAGTTTTTGCTTTGATCTCCCTCTCAACTCCCGGAATATTTCTCAGTGTTATTCATCTCCTCCCTCAATTTGCTCCTGCACTCGTCTCCCTGTCTTCCCACACATGTTTTGGCCAGGAGGGTGGAGTGTGAGGATCGCACTGTTTATATTTGAATGGCAGTGTGCGATGAGCAATAGATGATGGTGTACAAAGCCTGCTAATCCTGAGGCTCGGGGAAACTCTCTGATGTGGTGGAACTTGAAAGCAAAGGGCAGCGGCGTGAGACCCAAAGTGATCCCTCACTATCATTAAATACTATCATCGAAAGGCTGGGGGTGGGGGGCACAGATACAGAGACCCAGGCAGGGCAGCGGCTGGGCCAGGGAGACGAAGCGTGTGCTGGGGCCCCAGTGGGTGGTCTTCAGCTACACCCCTACCCCCACTAACACACATACTGGACTTTGGGAATCCACAGTCAGTGGACCATGCTATTTCCCAGGGTGAAATGTGTGTTTAGATATTTCCATGCAACTTCTAATGTGCTACAGTGGCAGCCATGTTTAGCTTCTAAAACCATGCAGTGTGGTGAGTGACGTTTTTGCATTGATGGGCTTGTTGTGGTGGTTTATCCCAATCTAGAACGTATCCCTGCAGACCTCAAGTAAGCCATTAATGAATGCATGAATGGGAAAATGTTTTGTTTAACCTACTTTTTCTCTGCACCATGTTTAAATACTTTTGAAAAGCTCTTTCATAGAGCGTTAAAGCCTCATTCATGCTGCTTGATAGTTGAGACCTGTGGTTAAGAATTTTTTTTTTTTTATCTGTGACATGACAACACAGGAACCAATACAATCCCACTCCTAAACATGGAAGTTAAAAGAGTTACCGTGGAATACAGCAGCAAGATTTCAATTTTCTCAGCCTGAGCTTCAGTTTTGGTGAAACTATTTTCAACTCGGATCCAAGTATGCAGCCCCAAAACCCTTTCCTGCAAATACTTTTATTTATGGTGGATTGTAAAATTTGCAAAAGCCGAGTTTTTATCTGCAAATCATCCACTCTTCAACAGCCTGCTTATCTAACCAAAGTGATACACTCTGATATTCTCTGAAACAGGGTCAGTAACATCCATTAAATCATCTTGCATCTACAAATATAGGCATGGCAGGCAGCTGAAACACATTTTTACCCAGTTTCTGTCCTATTACAAATACCTATGGCACCATGAAATTAGAATAGATTCAACTGGAAATTGGTAATGGATGACTATTGTATTGTCTATATAAGCCTCTATGGTTCACTCAGCTCTAAGAAAGGGTTATGTCTGTGTGATGCTACAGGGTGCCCCCACGGGCACTGAAGGTCAGGGTGATCCCTTGTCTCTTCTAATGCTGGCAGTGAAAGGCAGGTACAAAAACAACCTTTAAGATAACAGATAACAAGGGGGATGCCTATGGGACAGAACGGTGGGGGTAGGTGGGTGTAAAAAGGCAGGGGGGAGTTATGAGGGGAACAAAAAAGCCCTGTTTTTTTAAGCTTTAAATGTAAGTGGATCTGATGAAAATAAAAACCATTAGTTTTCCTCCAGGCTGATGACCGTGACTCCCTGGTCCGTCAAAACAATTAGACTTAAGACCCACGGATGAGAGGGCCTCAAAAGAGAAGTTCAAGGCTCAAGTTCAGCTGTGTGGACCGCGTCTTAATGTCGCCAAGCTAGCCACTGGTAGTAGTCATCACTTAGCACAAACTAGTTTAGTCAGGTTAGAGGGGCAACAAGAGAGAGGACATGCACATCTATGACTATTGGGACACAGTACTGCGATAACTGTAATATAGTGAATTATTAGCCCGCTGCAAAAATGCACTAATGATTTGGGGGTCACACGTTTTGTTTAAGTTTTTCTCTAGAAAACTACTCAGACCTTTATTTCTTTAAATGAGAGGAGAGGTTCATAAGCCTTCTACAAAAACAAAATAATAGTGCATGGCCCAATTGTATTTGAAATATTTATGTAAGCAATAAAACATTCATTAGATTTTGTAGTGCAATAAAAGTTGTACCTTTAGTCAAACATGTAATTTGTCCAAAAAAAGAATATAGTTATGCAGTTTTGACTGAAAAGGTTTAGCTTAATTTGATCTATTTGGCTTCTGTGAGATTCATATTTTTATTATATTATTAAGTAGCTGCCAAGCCTTTTCTTACTTTTTTCCTCTAATGGCCTTATGCATAAATTATGCCAATAACATTTCTCACTTTTGAATGACCCCTTCTTTTATCTTTGAGTCATTATGCACACCTCTGTCCTGTATATGTTTGCATTTCATTTTAGTGCATGTTATAATGACAAAGTGTTGGAACTGAGCCCTGAAATGCATTGCAAAATAAGCATTCTTAGCCTACAGGCGTTTGTACCAGCATGCCTTGTGAGCAACAATAATCATAACATCCATCCAACCATGCAATAAAAATATAGTTATGATTTATTTTTAATTGCCTTCTCAAATTAATCCAAAACGTTGTCAAAGCAACCAGGGCTTAAAATTTGGGATTTTTTCACACCAAGTAGCTCCGGGAAAAAAAACTCATGTTAGTGTGCGTTTCTAATTCTGTCTCCTCTGCAAGTGTTATTTTCAGAAAGGGTGTTTTAACATACTTTTCTGTGATAACATGCAATCAAATATCTAACGCTAGGTTTCACATGTTTTTTCCTCTAGATCATCCTAAATTCGATGCACAAGTACCAACCGAGGATCCACATAGTGAAGGCAGATGAAAATAACGGCTTTGGCTCCAAAAACACGGCCTTCTGCACTCACGTCTTCCCCGAGACAGCCTTCATTGCGGTTACGTCCTATCAGAACCATAAGGTAGGCTAAGTCCTGCATGAGCTACTTTTGGGTTTGTTTGTTTTTTATTGCAGTCTGTGCCATAGTAAACCAGGCAACTTTAAATTCACGGTGTATTTTATAGGGCGATTTCGTTTTAACAATGTTTTAAACGTGGAAAAAGTTGCAGAAATATAAACAAAGCCACATAAGCAGGTTAACATTTTTGCCAAAATGCAGAATTATGGTAAGGTGTAATTTCGCTTTAAAAAAAAGATTATTATTATTATTCATATTATTCATATTATTATTATTATTATTATTATTCATATTATTATTATTATTCATATTATTATTATTACGGACATACAAGAACTTTGTTGGAGCTCCTAAACTGCTGATGGCAGGAGATAAAACGAAAGGCACGGTTCTCTGTGAGGTTAAAGCCTTGTCACTGTCAGCTGAAAATCTCTGATATCACACTGAGTCACTGACAGACGAGGGAAAACTTCAGATATCCGACTAGACGACGTCTGACCTCAAGAGACTTCTTCCCATTTATAAGCCTGCAGCGCTTTGTGGAGAGAGACAAGCAGCAGATAAACCAGGCTCTCCAGGTTCCTCAGTACCTTATAAAACCTAATGACAACGCAAAAAAATAAAATAATAATAATAATAGGCCTACTGATAATAACCATAATAAGAATAAGAATACGTTTAGTGATCTAAATAAATTACCTACCAACAAGCTTATTTGCGAATCTCTGCTACTTTATGGACACTTTGAAATAGTCTGTGCCGATTATTGTATTAATATTATTATTATATTTTTGGTGTTAATTGGATTGCCTGATTAATAGGTTATCTCTTGGCCAATATTTACTTACCTACTTTATATATCTATTCGTCTGGGTGACCGATGCGCAACATAAACCCGTAGTTTACAAAAACGGGTGGTTTAAAGAATAATATGGTATTATATTAGGCGCTTAATAGCCTGTAATACATATTATAATAATACAACATTTTTCATATAGGCTCATATATATAAATATATATATATATATATATATATATATATATATATATATATATATTTTAAATGTTCCTATATATTTTTCATTCTTCTCTATTTTCGTTGAGCTTTCTGTTAGTTCCTTGCTGTCGGTTGACGGTGCAATAACTTGTACCGTTAATAAATAGTAAATTCACATTGTTATGCTGTTATTGCTTAGCCTAGCAAAAGCTGTGTAAAAGCTGAAAAACCTGAAAGAGTTCATTGATTTTTGTTTTTGATTTTTCTTCCCCAAACACACAATTTATAAAAGGATCGCCTAATAAGAGTTAAGTGAATCTATGTTGAGAGCAGGCAGCCTCACGGTTGTTTAGTTAGACCTGCGTGTTAAGACTTGGGGAAAAAAGCAGAAATAAGACTCAATATTTACTCTGCACAAATTTCTGGGGGGGGAAATCTTGGGAATACAGATATGTGTAAACAGCGTCTGTTTAACATCATTTAACCATGTAGGCCTATATGTTTTTAGTTTGGGGAATATAGGAGAAAGGGGCGAAAGCTCATAATGTCCCTGCAGCCAATCAGGAGTCTCCGCGCTTCTGGGAACAGGAAGCACAAATGACCGACATGCTGTAGAAACCATTCATTATTTTCAAACATCTTATTGGGGGCTGAGATCGTAACCCGGGGCTAATTTGTTGGGGCTTTCCAGACCTGCAGAAAAACAAGCATTTCGCCATTTCCAGGCGCTTTACCACAACTGTCTAATCAAACACTCTTAACATCTGCCAAAGCAATATGTGCTGCAGGCATGTGTCCAATTCACCTGTTAGACTCTCAGCTAATGAAAACGGCCAAAGTCTCTGGTTTCAAGTCTTTCCTGTCACAGCTGTAATTAATGTCTCCAAACTGTGTTTTCTGAAATAATATGTTTTCTTCAAGAATAAAAAGTGAAAAAATAGTGGCCCAAAAGTCCACACCTTATATTTAAGTTATATTTCATGAATCTTATTTTAAGCACTTCACTTCTTTAGGCTAAAATAGCACAAAGCATCTGGAAATATGTTTACATAGGCCTCAGTTATTTTAATGGGCATAGTTTGGATACAGTCTAAACGTGCAGTCTTTGAAGTTGTGAATGAATTTTACACAATTGTCTTGCGCATACTCCCAAATTATTTTTAACAATATTCATATTCTCTGTGCTGTTTATTTCCATGCTCTGAGCCCAGTCAGTAGGAGAACTCACACGTGTTTTGCAAAATATATTACTTTCTTTTTCTGTAAACTTAACTCAGGCTATCACTGTGGAATGGGTAATTGTTTGTCTAGCTGTATTTCTTCTTGGAACGCCCCCAGAGGGTAACAAAAGTTCAACAGGGCTCTGAACTTTTTATTCCAAACTGAAAAAAAGAAGATGAAACAATATATAAATGCTCTACCAGCCTGCGTGTATTAACAAGAAGCTAGCGAAGTGTCACATGAGAGATTTTACAAGGTTTGGCAAAAGTGTCAGCCAGCGTGCAGACAAACCTCTAGTCTTGTCAGAAAGCTGGAAGCACACAAGAGCTGCCAACTAATTACCTGCCAGAAACCACTGCTCATAAGAGGGATATCCCTGGATTGTATTTAACCTCTTTGGGATTAATTTACTATTGCGGGGTGGTTCTCTGCACTTTTTTTTGTCTGATATTTACAAAGACATTTTTACTATAACATAAAGTCATATAATAAATCACATTATTTGCATCTGTCATGCAATGCGCCAACTATCTGTTAAGCCAGAAAGCATCAAATGTAACATTATAAATTATCCAATGAAAATATGTCTTATTGAGACATGCTTTTATTGAACTGTTTAGCTTCGGATCCCTGAAAGCATCTTAGGTTTCTGGAAATGTGATCTATTATTTAATTCTCTTGGGTAACTTGTGAGCAGTTAGATGTATCCAAAAAAAACCTCCAAAAACATGTTGTAATACTGTCATCATATGAGCCTCTTGTCTATTGTAAAGCTTTTGCAAATGCTGAAATGTTGCTACAAAGTCTTTATTTAAAAAGCTGCTATATTTAGGACAAAAAAAATGTGTGTGTAATTTTGGCCCATATGTCTTTTTAAAATAGAGTTGAAGATCTTGTAATGAAGTGGCTCAGCCAGCAGAACAAATGGCTTTGATTGCATAATATGCTCCTAATTAAGTGTTTTTGCTGTTTTAGATAACCCAGTTGAAGATTGAGAACAATCCGTTTGCAAAAGGCTTTCGTGGAAGTGATGACATGGAACTGCACCGGATGTCCAGAATGCAAAGGTAGCTATAGAGAAAGTTGTTTTTAAATCAGTCTTTTGTTCATTTTGTAGTATGTGTACATATCATTGATAATCTATTTCTTTAAATGGTCTTGCACTGTGATACATGAAAAACACTGGCACAAACTGAATGATGTCAAATGAGTAGACTATTGACATCCTGGTCACACTGTCATTTAACAAGCCCCACTTTAATTCTTCAGTCATCCAAATGCAAGCCAGTTATGAGTGTTATTTTCAGTGAGTGTTATTTTCGGTGATGTAAGTGTAGCTGTTGATCCTCGGCCAGTTTTCATGCTGAAGACTTTTATGGCTGATCTGGCAGAACCTCTGAAACATAACTGCAACATCTCCCTTCCACAGAGCTCTTTATACCAGGAGGTTCCAACTGCTTGTGTGTGTGTGTGTGTGTGTGTGTGTGTGTGTGTGTGTGTGTGTGTGTGTGTGTGTGTGTGTGTGTGTGTGTGTCTGTGTGTGTCTGTGTGTGTACGTGTGTGTGTGTGTGTGTACATGCATTTATGTTTAACTGGTGATAACGCTAGGTCCTGCAGCCAAGGCAGAACACGACCACATTGCTCTCTCTCCCTATTATTCAGTCCAGATGAGGGATGGAGCATGCGTCCATACTGCGGGGAAAACACATTTTCAAAGGAGAAAATCGGGTTTTGAAACTCACAGCCCACCCACTCACCCCTTCTTTGGGCAGCTGATACAGACGCTGTGTGTATTTAAATGTAGAAATCCTGAATCAGGAGGGGAAAAAAAAGAGCTCTTTGGCTTTTCCACAAGGTGTTAAAATCCTACTTCCTTCACATAACCTTTATTCTGGGCCACAGAATAAAGTTCTTTGTAATTAAGTATTTCAGATTAATGTCATGGTTTATACTGTGGAGGAAAATCAGGGGATAGATTTCTGTACTTTTAAGTAGTTTTTAAAAATTGAATGCTTGATTGTATCAGACACACGTTAAGTTACTTTAAGTAGGTGCGTGCCACAATTTAAAGCAACGTTTTGAGTGAAATGCATTTCACCTATCAAAACTCTGCAAATGTATAGACCACGGCAAGAGTCCAAACCACACTATCAATCTTACATGCCATTGGCCAATCCTGCCGAGTACAGTAAGCTATGCGCGTCTGCTCTTGGTTACGCTTTTGAAGGGAGAGCTTATTGCAAAACCAGGTCACTGTTTCAACTGAGGCGATCCCTGAAATCAAAGAAGCAAAAGTAGCAAAATGATCTATTGATGGATCCTGTGGATTAATAGGAGTGAAATGCATCCTGGCACTTTCACTGGAAAGGGTTTTCCCCAGCGAAGTGTCTCTCTGTGTGTCCTAAGTGGGTGTGATTCATTGATGGTGAACATAGTTGATTGTCTTTGAGAACAGATCTTATGCTAAATCAAACTGTACAGAATTAAACTATTCATTTTGGTTTTACATGCCCTGGGTATACAATAATATGTTAGGGGGTTAAACTGCAGATCATTACTAACAACTGTATTTGGGTTATTTGTGTGTGTGTGTGTGTGTGTCTGAACATAGTACCAAGGAGTATCCAGTAGTGCCTCGCAGTACAGTGCGCCAGAGAGTGGGCTCCAGTCAGAGCCCGTTCAGTGGGGAAGTCCAGGGAATGGCCACCCCGAGCACCCTGAGCTCCCAGTACTCCCAGTGTGAGAACGGCGTCACAAGCACCTCCCAGGACATGCTGCCTCAGTCAGGCTCGTACCCCCTGCCACATGAGCACGGTCAGGAGTACCACTGCATCAAGAGGAAAGGTAGGAGCCTCTGCTTTGATGAGAACTCTAGGATGAAATAAAGTGTTGGTATGTGAGAGATTAGATTAGTTTCTTGCAGTCAGTTGACAATCCAATAACTTGTAATATAAATCAATAAAAAAAGTAAATCAATTATTGCTTATTATTGCTTAGCCTAGCCAACTTGATTGCAGTTTCTTTATAAATGGACACATTGTGTGTGTGTGTGTGTGTGTGTGTGTGTGTGTGTGTGTGTGTGTGTGTGTGTGTGTGTGTGTTTATATATATATATACACATATATATACAGTGTGTGCATAAAAGGGACAATAATCATGAAAAAAAGTTAATATAGAAAGCATGTTAATTATTTTCATAACATTTTGTTGGTTATAAGGATGACCATTTAATTAGTAGTAGAATTGTGGAAATTAAAGGACAATATTTTACCATTCCATTTACTTAAACACTTGAGTAACACTGTTCTTTAACTCTACCTGCAGTGGAGGATGACTGTCACTCAGGTGAGCACAGCTATAAGAAGGCCTATCTGGAGAGTTCATCCAGTGAGGAGGACCATTACTACCGCCCAGTTGGCTACACCCAGAGCCTCGGCCTGGCTGGCGGGCCCTACCGCAGTGAGTCCAGCCAGCGGCAGGCCTGTATGTATGCCAGCGCCTCACAGGGTGCTGAACCTGTTCCTAGTTTGGAGGACATCAGCTGCAACACTTGGGCCAGCGTTTCACCCTATGGGAGTTGCTCTGTCACCACCATGCAGCCAATGGAGCGGCTGCCCTACCAGCACTTCTCCGCTCACTTCACCTCAGGGTCTCTGGTGTCCAGACTTGGCGGGGTAGGGGGCCACGCCTCTCCGCAGCTGGGCGATGGCCACCACCCTGCCATGTACCAGAGCTCCATGACCCACCAGACTCTGGGCCGCCAGTGCAGTCCTGGGGCTGGGATCCAGTCGCCAACAGCTGGCCTACAGGGAAACGAGTACCTCTATACACACGGCATACCACGTACACTATCGCCACACCAGTACCACACTGTACATAGTGTCAGCATCATGCCAGAGTGGAACGAGAACAGCTAAAAGAGCTTTTTTCACACTCAAGAGATAAAAGATATTAAAGAGAAAAACACAACAAAGGACCAAAATAAGGCAGGGTTTAGATGAATTTATATTTATATTTTTAGAGGATGTGTTGCTGATCATCTTAATGAGATGGATATTTGTACAATGGTGTTGAGTAGGAAAGCAAGCATCTTATCACTTAATTTGTTGTGACAGCATCTGCACTTATAAGCAAATATCATAAACATGAACAAAGAGGAGCTGGACCACAGCATGCGCAAAGACTGCTTCAGCGCAGAGAAAGTGAACACAGTGGAGATTCAGACACTGAACAGAAGAACAGAAATGCTTTGCCAGCAGTCCCCTGGTTGATGATGTTCTTGTGCGGTGGTGTTCTTTGGATGTCAATGTTTCGGAGACATGTGAATATATTTTCATCTTTTTTTAACAAGTACAAAACTCTTGTTTTGTATTTCCCGCATTTGTGTAAAAAAGGTTGTTTGTCTTCTGTCACATTATCCAGAGTTCTCATTTTAGGCATTTTTTTCTTTTTTGTAGTTAACAACTTACTTTGTAGTCAAATTGCTATAAGTGAAAAAATAATAAGCAGATGGGAGCTTTTGTTGTGGCTCTTTGGTGAATTTGCTTGCTCTTAAATCTGTCAGGAGGGTGACTTTTTTTCCTGTTGCTGGGTACATTTACATGCACGTCAAGAATTTAATCTTAATGCCATTTCGAGAAACATGACAAGTAGGACACCATTTCAATAAAAAAAATGTTATTCATGCACAGACTTTTCAGGCAGACACCCCTCTTCAGCTATACAAGATGAAGTGCAACAATGTAGCCAATGACATTAACATGAAATTAAAGAATACAGTGATAACCAGATTTTTAACCTAAGTCGTATTATTTAATCACCTACTTTATACCTCTCAGTTTGCAGGGTGCACTGCACTTCAGAAAAGACGTGGCAGCATCCCAGAAGAACTAATAATAAAATGTTAAAGTAAAAAGCCCCACAGTGCCCACACGTTCAACCTGCTTACATCCAGCTCTCCTATTGCCATTCAGGTATATTAAGCAAAATTATAAATAACTAAATTTATTAAAAATGTTAATAAATTCCTGCCATTTATTTTTGGTTGACTTGAGATTATTGGATGTGGACACATCGTCTTGTTCTTCCATTATGTATCCTCAAGTCATCATGTTGTCAGAAACACAACACTGAATGAATGCAAATGTCTCTCAGTGTCTACTGGATGTAATTAGGCAATGGGTTGCTAACACATTACAACTTTATAAGGTGATAATATGTCAAGGCTGTGGGTCTGTCACCTTGTTGTGGTGTTCTTCTGCCCCCAAGTGGCCAAAAAAATCATTAATGCAGCTTTAATTGATGTAATTATTCTATCACAGCTTTGTAACGATTAGCAGTTGGAGTGTGACTGTCATTCACTTGAAAAGGCATGTGTTGATCCCTGTTACAGTTTGACTTTGGTTTCACTGGATAGTATTGAGAATGGTGCTGGAGAGGGATTTAAGTCTACAATAAAGAAACTGATGAATTCCAGGTCATAATAGTGTAGCATTTTAATAATTTGTGCACAAAAACAAGCCCTTACAGTTCTTGCTCTAGTATTCCAATCCACAAAAAAAAGCATAATTACACTAAATTAATCATAGGAAAGGGCAATAAGTGGAACTTTTCCAGTTGGCACCAAAATATAAGATGTGTCATGACTATTTTTATTATCAATTACTGAATTGGCATTAGTAAAGACGAATGGAAAACACTAAAATTTTTATGTTGCAAGCACAAGCATCACCTGTGGTTTTAACTCCAAAAGTGTTTGTATGATCTCTATATGATGAAACATGTCTTCCATGCCATTATTTTAACATTTTGAAGAAAATCAGAGAAATCAAGTTTCAAATAGAGTTCACGGCCATCAAGCGCTGCCCATTCTGGCCCCATATCACTTTGTGATGTTTAGGTGTAGGGGCATCTGTCCAATCACACACTGGTTAATTAGCTGGCACGTACACAGCAATGGATTCTCTCCAACTTGTTGCTCAGCACTGCCATGCTGCAAAACCTTGCCACAGTCTGTGTGTTGTGCATTCTGGATTATCCACCTCTAAATGCTTTTGTTATGTAGACACAAACAGTATTTTATTGTAATTTCAGACAAAGGTTTTTGCATCTAAAACACTACAAATATGTTGCCTTCTTTGTGACATAACAACCCTGCTAAGTTTGAAGGAGATTTCTATTCTTTGTCTAAGTTGTAGTTGTGTGTTTCATGCTGTGCTCAGTGAATGTGTGTGTTCTAAAATATTTTGCATTAATCCCCAAAATGGCACTTCTCTAACAGTCTAACTAAACCAACAGGTAAAGTAAATTTGAAAAAGCAAACAAAATTTACTTAGACATTATGAAGCAAAGGTCAGTTTCACCCTACAAATGAGTGTATGTTAAAGGTATGTTTTACATGTGGACAAAGGCTAATTTTTAAATGCTTGTAGTTGATAGGATGCTATTTGTCAATAGTATTTATTTTTCAACTATGTAAATCAGCTTGCTCCTGCATGTATCAAAATAGATGGCCCCATTTCTTTTTTTATAGCCTGTTTTTAATGATTGTTTATAGGATTTTCTAATCATACTTATATAGAAAACAGGAAATTACTATACAGCTGTCAGAAAAGTATCAAAATAAGATTGAAACACATGGGTAACTTTGTAAATAAACATGTACATAACAGAATACCTGCAATAAATTAAAAAAAATTAAAGTGGTGTTCTTTTGTCTGTTCTTGCTAAATTCTGTTTCCAGATATATTTGTAAAGGTAGACCCACACAGGTGATTTTATCTATTATGGCTGATTGGACCTCCTCTTCTGTGTTGTACTGGTGAGTTCAACTGACATCCTACTGACTCTCCTGTTTGCTTTGCTGCAGGGTGGGACAAATTACATCTTTATCATTCATATTAGTACCTCATATCATTTCCATCATAGCTCCGCCCACCTTCAATCTGAGCAGGAGTCTCATCAGAATAACTGAAAACACCAGTGTGAGTGTACAGGGCTTTAAACTGTACAATTTGTGTCTGTAGACCAAAGATCATTTCCCTTCGATATGGACAGGGCAGGACATGAGCATTATTACACTTCACTGTTCCCAGCATCCCTATAATCCAATGGATTAAATGTTGCTGTCTGAGCAACTTCCCAACCCTGTATTCCTTGAGAGCTACAACCCCTAAATCTTGTGTGTGTGAGTGTGGTAAACAAATGTCAGAGTGATTCACAGTAAGTACTGCTCACTGAGTCGAAGCTTTGAATCATGTGACATTTGTAGTCTCAACCCAATAAGACCTGTTTTACAGCAGCTATTTTGGCACGAAAAATAGGAGGATAAACACAGGTGTTACCGATGATAGAAATTAAGGTTTGTTCCATTCAGGTCAGAGTCAGGGTGCTCCTATTGTGCATGTTGGCTTACTGAGAAGGCTCTGCTGCACTAAATGAAATCTTATGAACTATCATTGGTAACCCCTGTGTTTACCCTACTAATTCATGTCCAAGAGGCTGCTGTGAAAAAGGTCCAGGTTCAGCCCAGTAGTCCGTCCAGTGAGTTGCTAGTTCAGGCTATTACGTTCAGTTCAGTACAAAACTGGGCCTATACAAGCACTGTTTATAAGATGAATAGCTCAGCAACCAACTGTCACATCATGACTGTTTCCGTGGCTTTCATTGTCTTTCAATAAGCTTTTAGTAAGGAAGTAATGTACTACGTGTATCACGACTGAGTTGGGTGGGGCACCAGTGGGTGAAGTTCATTCAGAATAGTGAGTTCAGTTGTTGATAAATTCTGTGTAAAGGTTTGTATGTGCATTGACACAATTACTGAACACCTCTAGTGGTCACAAATGCAACATGCTAAAAAAATCTATCCACAATGCAGGGTGCAAACTGCAGGGGAGCCATAGGGAGCTTGGCTCCTCTTAACGAGACATGAGCCCTAAAAACATTACTTCTGAAATTATGGGGGGTATTTTTTCCACATATTTATAGTTTCTTTATCATTATGAATCATGTGTAAAAATACTACTATTGAAGTATGTGTGTTATTAACTGATTTTTGATTCTGATCAGATGTGCTGACATAAAGCAGGTAGGCCTATATGATTGCAGCTATGAATTTTTCTTTGGAACTGTAGCGCAAAAAAAGAAAAGTGAGCTCCCCCAAAAAGCTATGGTATAGTTCGTACACTGCCACAATGAGCAGCAGTTTTCTGCCTTAAGGCGTGGTTCGATCCGATTTTGCCAGTTGAAATTTACTCGCACCATGTGATGAAAATAGTTTGCATACTTCTGTAGTAGTAGTAAAGTGCAGCTACTGTCACCATAAGCCTCACAGGACTCTGTTGCATAACACGATGCAGAGTCCAGTCCTGCAGCTCCTGGTACTTGTCAGACTTGTTCCCCCCCAGGCCAGGGGGACAAAACATACTCATGAGGGACAACCAGGAACATCTTCACATCAGACTTGCAACAGGCAAGGCCAGGGTCTCAGGCTAACGGCATAACAGCTCAATCACACCAGAAAGTGAAATTCATCGACATATCTTTGGTTCTTTTGTTTTTTTGATGTAGTAACCACATGCAAGGCTAGTTGGTGAAATAATGGAACATTTACTGTTAACCACTAACATGCTAGCTGGCACAGTCGTGCTAGCACTAATCAGTCACAATAACTACACTGTGCTATTTACTCCTCACTGGAATTTGTTTGATACTGTACACTATTTCATTCAATGAAAAAAATTATTAAAGAGAGGAAAACATTTAATTCAACAATAAGTTTGAAAAGAAACATTTGCACAGAATTAATTTGCCCCAACAAGCAAATCTTGCGTTTCCATTGTAATGAATTGATTTTGAATGCCAGTGTGACCAGGCCTTAAAGTCATAGTTCAAGTTTTTTTTAAATGTGCTTGTATGAGGAACTTACTGATATCACTCTATTACCTGCAGTAGACAGAGACTCTGCTTCCCTACGGGGACTCCTGTCTGCTTCTCCGTCTCCTGCAGCTAATACACTGACTATGGATAAGTACCTCATACAACCCAACTTACAACAATACTAATCTTTACAACAACTGCAATTTGAAATTCTTGTCTTTGAGGATGACTAGATGACCTGCCAGAGCAGTATCATAATACTCTACATACAGTAGCTGCTAGTTAAAAGTGAAAACATTAGATCAAAACTGCATGAAATTATTTACCTTTGTTTATGGGATTTTTTAATGACTGCAAGATAAACATAGAATATAAGCAGGTCACACATAAAATGTAAATGTTTGTAAAATTAGAAAATTACAAACCCTGCACTGTCCATTTCCCTTCCCCCAATCACTTTGCCCTTTCAGTCTCTTGGTTTCTCTCCTATTTATCTTCCACTGTCTCTACCCATTCCCTCTTCATCTCTTTTACTCCCCATGATCCTCTTCCCAATCCTCCCAACCACCCCTCCACTCTCTCCACCACCCCATGGCCAAACACAGTGACCTAGACTCCCAGCCCCCTTTGATGTGAGCGATGTGACCCCTGCGCTCCAGATGCCCCTACACCGCCAGTCTTATCCTCTCCGAGAGCCGGCACAGCCCACAGAGAGGGCCAGTCATTAACCCCGTACAACCTGGGCCTCCCCTCCACTGCTTAAACACATGATGTATCACAACACCCACCCTCGTGCATCCCCCCGATTCACCCAAACATATATGTGTGGGCGAGGACCGATGATGCAATAGGCTCTTTAAACATTTAAAGAACAGGTCAGTTTTTCAAAGGGAGGAGCTGGAACCTTTGGCCACTGCTTCAGTTATCATGGTCAGTGGTTGAAAGTCTGGTGATATGTCAGAAGGAAAACAAATGAATGTCTAATGAATGGAACGCCTGGATGATGAATGATGCTTCACACTGCTGGTTTATTTTGATTATGAGTGTATATCTTTGCCATACCTGGGCTGATAGGATTAAAAGAAACAATGCTTTTATCTACTAACGGATTGAACATGTCGAAATGTAGGGAAAATGTGCATCTTAGAACTGTTTATTATGATATGTGGACAGTTAAATGAGAACAAGCGCAGTAAAACAGCACTGAATTCCTTAAGTCTACATCAAGCATCTTTCAGTAAATCCTACATCTTTTTGTTACTTTAGCAGAGAGAAATTATAACAAGTCATCTCAGAGTAATGATGAGTCATGGCCTCAGTCAACCTTAAATCTGAAGCCTAAACAAATCATGGTCTGGGTGCCCCTCATGACAAAGGAGAAGAGTGCAAGAACAAGAGCATTCCTAGGGGTACAAAAACAAGGGAGGGGATTACTTTATTAAGATGTACTGAAACACAGATCACGACAGATGGATGAGCGCTTCGTACAAAGAGGGTTTTCAGAGAATCAAATCCATTTCGTGCAGGAGTCACAAACATCTGTTTGAAAAGTCAAACTGTTGCAACTTTAGGTCTTTCATTAGAGGCCGGAAACCTTCTTCTGAAAACATTTGGACAACAAGCTAAGACATCAATGTCAGAGGGGTCTGTTTAAGCTTTAAAAGACATGGAGAGAAAGGGACAAAGAGGTGAGATCTCCTAATGACTAGGGTTGTGCTTCTCCATGTGACTCTAATAAAGAGGCTCCAACCCGGGTCTCAATCGACAGAGCATCTGGGCCATCCACATAAGGAGGAAAATGCTAATATTGCTCTTGCTGGCAGATAAAATAAAGTCTAGCACACTTTTCTTGGCATACTCCCAGGGCAGATGTTTGATGCTTGGCCTGAGGCTTGTGGTGAGATGGCAGTGGGGGACGGTCTGGAATTAGGAGAACCCTCCATCAGATAACACATTTTCTGGTTCATGTAAAGACGTCCAGCATATCAACAAAGACATGCATCACCATGATGTAAAATCTGCATCTGTGCACGGCAGCCGGTTTTTGCCTCCGCAGCCGGCTGAGACGAGTCCTGGGACAAGAGCGCTGAAATGGGAGCACAGACCCTTCCATCTCCCACCATTCAGTCTTTCAGCACCACTCCTGGCCAGAGACCTGGTGAGAGAGTGGGAGGAGAAGGGGGAGGGCAGGGACAATCCACCGAGGGAGGCAGACAGGGATGGTGCTGTGTTGATAGGGTGAGAACCAGAGAGTGTTTCAAAGCTAGAAAGCATTGTCAAAGCTGTTAAGCCATGTCCATGCGGTAGCAGGGAACCTTCAACTGGAGCTGCTGGCTGTGCAATTCTGCATATAAGTACACAACCATCTGTCCATATATAAGCTGTCCTGCTAAAATCCTAAAATCACTGGTCAACAACTACAAGCCTTTCTGGAGGATAATAACATCCTTCTGTCACAGCAGTGAAGGTTTAAAGCTAGTTGGTCATAGTGCAGTAACTGCTATTGTGGAGGATATTGTTCACTTGCCTGGTAAAGGCAACATTGTGCTGCACTCTTGTAGATTTGTCTAAGGCTTTTGATATTGCAGATAGTTTGAAATCCAGTGGACAATAAATATGTCCCACAGGGATCAATATCAGGCCCCCTGCTATTTAATATTCCCTCTTTATGCTACTGCAAACTGGGTCTTCTCTAGATTACGGTTTAGTGTCGATGATCCTCACACCCCTCTTATTATTTTAAAGCTTGTTCTAAACATCAAAAAGAAAAAATATATCCATTTCAGAAGAGCATAATCCTTGCTCCTCAAGTTGATAC